TGTGAGTACCTTTGCTTGCTGCCCGGCTGTGTCCGAAGCTGCATGTGTAGGTGTGCACTGTGCGCTGCCAACTGTCAGTGCAACGTGTACCGAAACAAATGGCAGTCGCTGAAGCAGTGCTGCCTGTCTGCGTCAGAGGCTGCGTGTGCCATGGGGTTTTGTGAGTAGGCACTCGACCTCATAGGTAAAGAGAGCGCAATCTTTGGGCTGCTACCAGGGGTTTTGTAGGTTAACCCCGAACCTGAGGGGGGGGGCGGGGGGGGGGCACGAGGATGCGAATAGAAACGAGGCAACGAGAAAGAGGATGGAGGACAGGAAACATGTGTGCGCGAATGTAAAAGGCAATTCTAGGGCTGCTGCCCAAGGTTTGTAAGCGGACCCCCCACCGTTTTTTCTTAGTACGTTCTACTGGTCGGAGGTCTGAACAATGTGCTTATAGGCTGGCCTTTTGAATAGGCAGGCCGCGTGGCTGACCTGTACTGTTATAGGCTGGCCAGATGCACTGACGTAAAACATGCAATCCTGGGGCTGCTAGCCAGGGTTGTTGCAGGGCAGCCCAAACCTGACATTGGTAAAATACCACCATCGTGTCAGAGCCGCGCGGGAAAAGGAGGATACGTGCATTGCATGTGCTGCAACAGCTCTGTGCGTAGAAAGGTTTTGTTTAAGGTGTACCCCTAACCTCTGAAAAAGGAAAGGCCTGCAACATTTGGGCTGATACCCAAGGCTTTGTAGGGCACCCCCGAACCTACGTAAGTAGAGAGGTCCTCCTCCGCTGCCACCTCCGAATACATGAGCCTCCGCCTCCACGAGTAGCAAAGTGAGAGTACCATACTTGCTGCCTGGCTGTGTCCGAGGCTGCATGTGTAGGTGTGCGCTGTGCGCTGCTAGCTGTCAGTGCACTATGTACTGCAAAAAGACAGTCGCTGAAATAGTGATACGCGGCGGTGTCCGAGGCTGCGCGCGCGGGGGTTCTGAAGGTCGACCCTCCTCCCCAAAAGTAAAGAGCGCGCAATATGTGGGCTGCGACCCAGGGTTTTTAGGGGGCAAACAAACCTACCTCGCTTCTGACCACCCTCGCTTCCAAGAGATACCAAGCGATGCCAAACTACGGCCTGTACTGGTCAGGCCGCTTGACGAGGAGGCGCGTGGTATGACTTGGTTTTGCCTGGAAGCGAAAGCGGGGTAGGTAATTCACGCTCTGAGTTTTGCAGGTTAGCCCCGAACCTGAGGGGAGCGGTCCACGAGGATGCGAATAAGGAGGAAGGAGGACAAGGGCGATGTGCACGATGGCCTGGTGCAACAACAGGAAAGAAAAAACACAATGATAATGTATGACATCTTTTTGCTGCGCAGACGGTGTTGCTACGGTGCTGCTAGTACCCTACGCGCTGCAAGATGGTTTTAAGGTTAGCCCCAGAGCTGCGAAAGAACGCGCGCGGTCTTTAGGCTGCTACCCAGGGATTTGTAGGGCAGCCCCGAACCTATGCAGTAAGTTCCTCCCCCGATACCACCGCAGTAAGAGTTGCACGCCTCTACCTCCACAAGTCGCAAAGCGAGAGCGCCATACTTGCTGCCTGGCTGTCTCCAAGGCTGCATGTGTAAGTGTGCGCTGCGCGCTGCTGGCTGTCGGTACAATGTGCACTGAAAAGGTGCCGGTCGCTGAACTAGCGCTGCCTGGCTGTGTCCCGGGCTGCATGTGCGACGGGGTTTTGAACGCGAGCCCGAAAACCTCGAAAGCAATGCTCGCGCGACCTTCGGGCTGCGAGCCAGGGTCTTGCAGGCCAGCCCCGAACCGGAGGGGAGAGGTCCACGTGAGTGCGAAGATGGAGGGAGCAGGGGACTGGAGGTGCACGATCAGAACAAAGAGCAGCCCTAGGGCTGCCACCCAGGGTTTTGCAGGCTACCTCCCCAACCTTTTATCAGTAAGCACCACTGACGCGTGAGAGGAGCCGCGGGGAGAAGGAGGGACGACTCATTGCAAACCAGTGGTAATGGCATACAGACAGCCTGCTGGATGGCTGTGCTGCCTTTCAATCTGGGTCCTTCCGCGGTAGTTAACCCACTAGGAATACTTGATGTGGACGTTGCGGCAGTCTGCCGTGTACCGTGCGTTGTGGGTCGGTTGGCATGTCTGGCTCGGTTGGCTCGTCGTAGCGTTTGTCGGCTTGGACTTGGGGGAAACCTTCTGCGTCGTGACCATGTGCTTGGGCGGTGGCCGCCTGAACGGTGCTCCCAGTGCGTCTTCGTTGAGGCTGTTGAGGTATGTCTCGTAGCGAGCTTGGTGTCCGCGTAGTCTGTCGATGTAGTTCTGGAATGTTGGGTCGCCAGTCTTGTTGATGAAGATGACGCGTCGGTCGAATATGTGTATCTGTTGTTCCCCGCGTCGAGCTGCTTCTTAGTGCGCTGCAATGGCTTGTGCGGCCTGTGTCGGGGAATAAATGCGCCGAGTCGCTAGTGTCTGCGGTGCGAGCTGCCGCTGCGGAATGGCTTGCATCCACTGCTGCGCGCCAGTGTCTTCCTCGGGCGGGCATATGATCGGTCTCGCGAGCGCTGGCGGTGGAGGGCGCGGCGGCGTGTATGTGTGCGACGGTGGCCATTTGATCGATGCGGTGAATGCCGGCGCAGGTGTGGTTGCCGCTGCTGTAGCGTTGCTAATGTTAGGCGTGTTCGGCGGTTGTTGGATCAGGTGCGCTGGCGGTGGTTTGCGCGGTCGCTGGCGCGGTCGCAATTGCAGTGGTCGTTGTGCTACTGCGCATCTGTGGCAAGAGCTTGCTTGGTATCGTGCTATGTTTTTTTGTCGCGATAGTGGAGTGCTATCTCGCCGCGCGGTTGCAGGGCGCGGACGCTCTAGGTTGCAGTGGCTGCTGCGTCGCACGGCGTTCCTTTGCTGGGTTGTGCGCGTCGTGTTGGGCTGGTCGGTTCGGAATCAGCAGTCCAAGATGGTAGTGGAGCTGGTGCGAGTGATTTGAGAAAGGGCTGAGCTGGTAGTGGCGATGGTTTGGTTGGCATGTGCTGAATATTTTGTGCTGCGCTAGTGACGCTGCCCCTGTCGTTGGAGCTGTCGCTGTCGACGCGCTTGTTGGAGGGTTGTGGGCTTGGATCTTGTGGGATGCTGATGCGTTGCAGTAGGAGAGATGCGTCGCGCAGTCGCGCTGCCGAGTTGTACTTCATGCCGTGGTCGTCGTTGCAAGTGCTAAGCCGCTGTGCTACTTCTTGCATGGCTTTGGTCTTGGCATTTTTGAGCGGTGCTCGTCCTCCGGCGACCAGCGTGGTGATGCGGGCGTATGTCTGGACTACTTGTACTCTGAATGTTGCGCTGTCGCGGCATTGTGCCGCAAAGACATGTCAGTCGTCGCCGTATCGCGAGAACTTCGGCTGGAAGACCTCCAAGAACCAAAGAAAACTCCCGAACACGAGCGGCAGGAAGCCACGTGTGAACCTTACCCCTGCAGGCCAGACTTCTGAAACGCTGGCTGCGGAATCAGGATTCAACGGATGTCGGCAGCCAAGTGAACCCCAGGGGGGTGTTCGATACCCCAGCGTCGATTGGATACGCAACCCTGCTGGAACGCATCCCAAGGCTAGAACACATTCAATTGTCGACAACATCCTTTCAAAACCCACGGCACGCAGGCCTGAGATCTGACGCTGCGAACAACATGCATCACTGAGAACAATCACGACCCGAGCCCTAGACCCCAGCGTTCTGCTGCGTTTTTCGAACGATCGGTGAGGGTCCTGGGGGCCGAAAACGGGCGAAAACGCCCGGCGCGAAAAAGTGGTTCCGGATCCCAGGCACCGTTGGTGAGGCCTGCCCTGACTTCTGATCTGCCATACGCGAAAGAGTAGGGCGGAAATTTCTGCCGTACTGGTCAAGCTCCCTTGACGTCGATTTTCGCCCTGCTTTGCCGTCGCCGTCTCGGCCGTACCTTTGCAGACATCTCCGCCCTGTTTCGTCAGAGGCAGACACTTCCGCCCTACCGCTTAGCATCGCTCAGGGCGCAGGTCCGACACATGGCCAAATCGGAAAATCCGACTAAGTGCAGCGCATCCGAGGGCAGGGGAGCTCTATCTAAGTAGGTCCCCCCGTCTCCTCTGGGGAGGGCCGGAGGGCTGGAATCCCAGGCGCCCCAAGGCTCGTCACCACCTCTCGCCGCGAGAAAACTCACGACGGGGACGCTCTCGTGCACTCTTCCGGGCTCCCGGGGCCGTCGCGGGGCCCCGGGGCCCTCCAGCGGCGACGCGGGGGTGAGGCTCCCATCCCCAGACCTCCTCGGGTCGCGAAAAAATCACGGCGGGAGGTTTTTCGCTATTTTCGGCTTCCGGGGGCCCTCGCCGGGCCTCGGGACCGTCAAAAAACGACTCAGGACGAAAAACCGGTCCCGGGGAATGGGTCGGGACCTCTGGGGGTCGCGTCATGAAAAAATCATGACGTCGGGGGTCTGGGTCCTGGGGAGAAGGCCCAGGCCTCCAAAAAGCACGACGTCGAAGGTCTGCCAAGGGGGGGCGAAAGGGTAGGACAGCCAAGGGCAGGGTAGAGCCTCTGCGCACGTGGCGCGTTCTCCTGGCGCCTCCTGGCGCCAGGAGGCGCCCATGTATCGAGCAGTGGGCCCAGCGACGGGGCGGAAACCCGCTGCATGCGGCAGATTTCCTAGCCCCCCCTTTCCCTACCCTGCCATTTCGTCGAGCCCGAGTCGGGGGGTGGGGGCCAGGGAAGATCAGTCGAAAGACACGTCGGATCCAGCTGCCCTGAGGTCCGACGCTGCGACGAAGAAGTGCACCCCCGCGGAAAAACCACGACCGGAGCCCCGTGGGGGGCCCAAAGATAGACACCACCACCACCTCCCTCCCCGCCTCCCTCTCGCTGGAAAGAGGAGGAAGAGGAGGAGAAGGAGGAGGAGGAGGAGGAGGAGGAGGAGGAGGAGGAGGAGGAGGAGAGAGGAGGAGTCGACGTGGTGGTGGTGGTGTATATTCTTTGGGCCCCCACCCTGGACCTCGTCTGCCTCTGCTGCGCCCTTCGAGCCGCGTCGCTCCGTGATTGGTGGCCCCCGGGGCCCGGAAGAACGGGCGCGAGCGCCCCGTGGGAAGGCCCGCAATCGGCGGCGAGCCTGGGGGGGAGGTGGGCAGGGGCGGGCCTTCCCAGAGGGCTCGGGAGGCCTCGGGCCTTCGGAGCAGTGTTCTAAGCCTTCCCCGAAGATGCCTAACACTTCTCTCAGGAGGCCGGAGGGCATCTGAGAGACCCCGCCGCCTTCCGAGAAGCGGCTACACGCAGAGCGACCCTGGGTACGGGTGGCCTCTGGTGCGCTGCTTCTTGGGGGCCGCGGGGGCGGGTGGGGGCCAAAAACAAGCGCGCAAGGTGCCACTGCCGCCTCGCGCAAGGCGATCGGAGGGCCCAATGGGGCCCGCACCAAAGGCCACCCCGGCGAACGGCCGCTCTCACGTCTAGTCGAGGGAAGGCCTTCGCCTTCTCGCTTCCCCCCAGGGCGCGCCGCCGATGCCAGCCAGGCCTGGATCTCGAGGGCACATAGCCAGGCTGGGCCTCTCCCGCCCGCCGCCCGCCGGGCCGCTCTAGGCCCGAAGCCCAAGACCTCCGGTGGCGCTTCTCCTGCGCGGGGGGGGGGGGCGCGCCCCCCGCGTTCGTGCCGTCCCCGGCGCCGACGACGACAAGGACGAGGACGAGGACGAGGACGAGACCGACGACGACGAGGACGAGGACGAGGACGAGGACGAGGACGACGACGACGACGACGACGACGACGACGACGACGACGACGACGACGACGACGACGACGACGACGACGACGACGACGGCGACGGCGACGGCGACGGCGACGGCGACGGCGACGACGACGGCGACGGTGACGACGACGACGACGACGACGACGACGACGACGACGACGACGACGACGACGACGACGACGACTCGGACTCGGACTCGGACTCGGACTCGGACTCGGACTCGGACTCGGACGAATACCACGACGACGACGACGAGGACTAGGAATAGGACTAGGACTAGGACGAGGACGCGGTCGTGGACGAGGACGACGACGACGACGACGACGATAGCCCAGCTTATGATTTTTCGGCGACGGCCCAAGTTATCCGTGGGGGTAAGGGTGGGCCGATAACCTTACCTTGTCGCTTGGTCGGACCCGCGCGAGCACGCGCGCACCAGTTCTGGGCACCCCCGCCCGGACCTGCGCAAGCGACAGGGCCAGGTGATCGCCAGACCTTCAAATAAAAACAGCCTGCTGCCGGCGCCCCGACCCCACGAGGAGCCAGAGCGGGGACACGCATCGATTCCAGATCTCCGAGGCCACGTTTGTTTATCCATGCCCTGCTTTCCCTGGTGCCAAGAACGGGGGGTAGCAGTAGGGGTAATGTCAGCATGTGCTTATTACGGTGGGGGCATTGGATAAGGAACCCTTAGATCAGGAATCCAGAGTCTGGAGGCCAGTGGAACCCCAATCGAAGCTTGGCCATGGACATCAGTGCCGCCTTCATCAGATAAAGAGCCCTCCAGGGTCTGCAGCATCCAAGGCGCATTCCTTAATCAACGCCCCCGCCGAAAAATCACGGGGGCGCGTGAAACAAATGGTCCCCCTGCTCGGGCGAATCGCGGGGGGGGCGCCCGCCAAATGAAGACTCACTGCGGCGGCGCTGGTGATTCGCGCCGACGCCCGGCCGACACCGAAAAGGCGACAGGCGCGACGCAAGCCGCGCGGCTTCAGCGGAGGGGGACAGCGGCGCCTCCGCAATGCCGGGGCGCCTGGGCCAAAGTGGCTACAGACAGAAGGAAAACAAGGAGGCGGGGGGAAGAGGCGCCTCAACTGGCGAGGGCGGGGTGAACGACAGGGGCAGGCGTCCTCCTTCTCCCTCTCCCCCTCGCCCCCCTCCACTACAATATGTCCTAATACGACGACGACGGCGACGGCGGATGACGACGCACTGTGGATGCTCCATCGGGGGGGGGGGGCGCGTGTGCTGCGCATGCCCTGTGTAATCGTCGACGACGACGACAACGCACTTCGGATGCCCCATGGGGTGGGCGGGGTGTTGCGTATACCCGTTGTCGTCGGTCGTCGACGTCGACGTCGACGACGAGCACGACGACGACGACGACCGACGACGACGACGACCGACGACCGACGACCGACGACCGACGACGACGACGACGACGGCGACGACGACGACGACGATGACGACGGCGACGACGACGACGACCGTGGCAGGTCACTAATCAGCCCGAAGGCTGGAAAACTTGACCTCGGAAGTATACGGTCCCAAAAACAACTTCTACACGAAAAGCAATCGTTTTGAGGCTGCCGTGCAGGGTACACGACCCCCTCGGCGGCGCCCGCGACGACCCCCTGGCACGCGTGATGAAAACATGTTTCGCGACCTGCGGGGTGTATTCATCAGCCCCGAGGGGAGGGGCATCATTTACGCAATACGAGCTCACATCATGGATCGAGCGTCGATCGTCGAGCGGGGCGGGCCGCTCAGCAAGCCATCTCAGGAAGAGATGGCGCGTGAGGGTTTTGAAAAAGAGACTCAGCCGTGGACCCTTCGAGAAAGATCCCGTCGAACAGGGGCTGGCTATGTGGATGCCACGACAATCGACACACATTAACAATCCTGTCATTGAATTAAAGGTGTGTATAAGCTGTGTAAAACATGTTCTAAACATGTTTCAAACATGTCTTTAACATATCTACATCCTGTATGACACATCTTTTAGACATCTGGAAATTATGTGGCAGCATGCTTCCTCTCCGTTGATCGACGTCCAACGTCCAAAAGGCTGGCTCGCGTGGCGCGCACGCGCCTGGCTTGGAGCACCGTGTGGTGGACGTGGCGAGCCGCGGCTGCGGGGGTGGAGACGGACAGAAAGCAACACGCGGGAGGACGACGGACCGGGCGGGCCGCTCTGGAGGCCCAACTCTGCCGACCAGCCACACCTGGGGAAGCCGTAATCCTCACCCCCCTCCGGGGAACCCATCGCATCGACGATCTCTCGAAGAGTGGCGTCGAAATCGATGGGCCCCCCAACGGGGGCAAGGACCACAACTCCCCCAGCTGTGGCTGGCCTGCTCTGAGACGATGTGCTCGCTTCGGCCAGCGGCTCTGCCTCGACCTCGGCCCGGGCGGGGGCCGCCCGGCCGGGTGCGAAAAAGCACACGCCCTCGGTGAAAGGGCCGCCGGGCCCCGCCCCCGGCCCCACGACGCCAGCGCTGTCACAGCGTCGACCCCGTGAAACCTTGACCCCTTTTCCCAGGGACCGGCTCACCATCCGAGGCGCTGCTTGGCGGGCCCGGGGCACGGCGGGGGCCTCCACAGGCTGCAGAGTCTGCTGTTCCAGAGGAGGCGTCCGCCGTGGCTCCGTCCTGCTGCGAGGGCGGCTGGGGCTGGGGCCACGGAGTCGGACAGGAATCCCAGCGGCGGATGCCAGGGAGAGAGGACGAGCCCTCGACCTGCACCTGCCACACCTTTCGAGCGGAAGGCGCAGTCGCGATGCGGCCGCGGCGGCCGCCGCGGCGGCCGCCGCTGCGGCCCCGACGGTGGCCGCCGCTGCGGCCGCGGTGGCGGCCGCCGCACCGCGACACCTTCCGCGCGGCAGGTCCGGAAGGTGCAAGTCGCAAGTAGGGCATCGACTACATCATCAATCTGCCCCAAGCTGGGATGTTCAAATTCGCAAACAGAACCTCCGGAAGTCTGAAAGAATTTTCCGCACGTTCGACACAGAATTCAATTTGGGGGTAAATTAACTCTGTAGTCGATCCCTTCCGGCTGGACGTAGGACATGATAAGATACTCCAGGAACATGAGACTCTCCGCCGGCCAAACCGAAGAACACTCGAGGGCACCCTCCCCCAGGATGCACAAGAACACCCAACAAACACGAATAACATGAGGGCATCCTCCCCGAACCGACTTCGATCGTATCTTGGCGGCGCGCAGAAGGGGGCTTGGGCACTGGGGAGGGGTGGTGGAAAGGCTTCTTAGAAAGAGGAAGCTTCTTAGAAGGCGCCAGCCTTACATTTGTAGACAAGGCCCGCGCCTTCTGAAAAGCAGGGATGTTTCTAAGAAGGCTTCCTCCCTCCCTCCTGCCCGTCGAAACACAACCAGGACACCATCCGGACTTCAATGGGGGCACCACTCGGGACACTGACGGGACACCGACGGGACACCGACGGGGCACCGACGGGGGACCGACGGGACCCCGACGGGACACCGACGGGACATCGTCGGAACACCGACGCAACACCGACGGGACACCGACGGGACACCACGGCGGGACAACCTGGCCACCGCGCGCCCACCGCGGGGGAGAAGCGGACAGCAACGGGACACCACGGCGGGCCAACCCAGCCACCGCCCACCCACCGCGGACGGAGGAGTGGCGGTCAACGGCTCTTGACCCGCCCTGGCCGCCACAGCAAATTGATTCCTCTCGCCCGCCCACGCAGCTTCGCCTCGCAAACACGCACGACACGAACCCGAAAACGAAACCGACTTCGCGGTGGGATGCTCTCCGTCCCACTTCGATCTGAACACCCAACCTCCGAATCATCATCACCACCATCAGCATCATCGCCGCAATCACCATCACAAACATCATCATCCTCATCCTCATCCTCATCCTCATCCTCATCATTACCTCCTCCTCCTCCTCAACATCAGCACCATCACCACCATCATCATATAATCCTCATATGTATCGTTACCACCATCCCAAGTGGCATCACCACGACCATCACCATCGTCATGACCATCATCATCATCATCATCATCATCATCATCATCATCATCATCATCATCATCATCATCATCATCATAATCACCATTGCCATCATCATCATCATCACCATCATCATCACCGTCGTCGTCGTCATCTTCATCATACCCAAAACCACCATCATCAGTGTTGTCAGCATCCCCTCCGCGTTCAATCCTTTCAGCCTGATACCAACGCATACAGCGTCGCGACATCAGCAGCAGGAACAGGGGAGGGGGTGACTGACGCAAAGAGAAAGCACATTGTTTTGCTCCGAGCGATCCCCACCGCAGCCTCGAGCGTTTGATCCCGACGGCGCGCGGTCGCCAAACTGGTGGAACGCGGCGCGCGGGGGCCTGGTGGTCTCGGCCACTGCGGCGGTCGGGCCCGGTGGCGACTCCTGTTGTCTCCAAATCCAACAGCCCCAGGGCTCCTGACGAAGGAACTCGACACAAAAACCCAGGGCGACAAAACAAGCTCCGAACACGTGTGGTGCGAAACGGATGGGCAGCCGCAGCCTGAAAGGGGAAGAGGAAGAGCATCAGCAGGAGGAGCAGGAGGAGGCGGACGACGAAGGAGGAAGAGGAAGAGGGGGGAGGTGAGGCGGACCTTGATTCCCTACTCTTCCTTCGCCTCCTCCTCCTACCACTGCACAACTGCCGTTCAACGATTCAAAAACGATTCAACCGTGTTCCATGTAGTCACGTCCTTCCATGTTACGGTATAGATTGTCCTGTTATGTTCTCGACGGGCCCGCGTGACGCCGTGACGACTGTGACGTTAGATGCGTAGTATGTTACGTTGTTCCTCTTAAATTACGTGTTCCTTTTCGGATTGAATATATTTGTTATGACCACCGCTGTCACCAAATGGCTTGAGATGCGATGGTATGATCTACTCTGTGGCACTATGTTATGATATGATGTCTTATGCCACACCATGTTATGGTATGGTATGCCCCGTGATGATGTTAGCACCTCGGCTGAGTATACTATAGCATGATACGCTCTGCTAATCAGCGTCGCTATGCAATGCTGACATGCTATGTTATGTGATGCGATGATGTAATAGTATGATCAGATCGATTATGTCAAGGTGTGTCGTGTTATGATCAGCTCAATTCTCTTATGTTGTGTTATCGTTGTCTGTTCTGTCCTGTCCTGATGTGGTATGAACTGTGATGTTTTGTTTGGTGGCGGCTCCACTCTGTATAATATGTAATGATACGTGCTGCTAATATGTGTCGCTATGCTCTGCTGTCGTGTTATGATGCGTTCCGTGATGCTGTGTCATGGTATGGTCTGTTCTGTCAAAGTGTGGTGTGGTATGTTCGGTTGTGTTATGTTACGTTGTGTTATGCCGTCTTTAGTTCTGTCATGTTCTGCTCTGGTATGGTATGTGATGCTGTAGTATGCTCTACTCGTTAATGACATTGCTATGTTATGTCCTGCCATGTTCAGTCATGATCGAGTTCTGTTCTGGTATGCTCTGGTGTGTAATGTTGCGATCTGTCGTGTTCGTCGACGCTGCGCTCTGCTGTCGTGTTATGGTCTGTTCTGTGATGCTGTGTCACCATCTGATATGGCTTGTCAATGTGTATCATGGTATGCTCGGCTCTGTTCTGTCATGTTGTGTTATGTCGTCTTCTGCTCTGTCATGCTTTGCTCTGGTATGGTCTGTGAGGTTATGTTTGTTGACGGCTCGGCTCTGTATAATATATTACAAACTGATCTGAGAGTATTCTGTGTCGCTATTCTATGCTGTCGAGGAATCATATAATATGTGATGCTGTGTGTTGTGTTATGCTCGGCTATGTTATGTTATGTTATGTTATGTTGTGTTATGCCGCAGTCTGCTCTGTCATGTTCTGCCCTGGAATGTTTTGAGACTTCTGCCATGATCAAGTTTGTCATGCCAGTGTTATGATTTGGTATGTAATGTTATGTCGTGCTCGAGTTATGTTGTGTCATGTTATGCTGTATCATGTTACGTATGTTGTGCTATGCTGTGTTCATCGTCGCTATGCTCTGCTGTCGTGTTATGATATGTTCTGCGATGCTGTGTCATGATATGAGCTGCTCTGTCAAGGTGTGTTGGGTTATGCTCAGTTATGTTATGTTATGTTGTGTCATGCCGTCTTCTGTTCTGTTCTGCCATGTTGTGTTCTGTCGTGTTCGTCGAAGGCGCGAGGCGAGACACCCGGAACTCTCGGGGATCATCGGGACAACTTGGGGTCTGGCGGTCGCAGTATGCAGGGTGGGGTTGGCGGGGGGTCTGTTCTTGAAATCTAACAACCCCAACCTGTCGCGTGGGAAGCCATATAAGTAACTATCATCATCACCCGCTCCGCGTTCAGCCTTTCAGCCTTACGCCAACACATCCCCCGACGTGACACCAGCAGCAGAAACAGGGAAAGGTGTGAGTGACGCAAAAAGAAAGCAAACAACATGATTGAGGCGCAGATGCCCAAATCCTCTCACTAGGGATGCAACACCTCGGAAAACATCCCAATGCCTGGGCCCAGCCCACTCTAGGAGGGAGACCGTTCGATCCGCGTCCTCATGTGTGCGGTCCTCCCCCTCCCCTCCCCCCGTGGCTTCCTCCTCGTGGTAGAACGCCATGGAGCTCCGGTACACCAGCCCCTCCAATTTCGCCGCCTTCACTGGCAGGAGAAGCAGGGAAGGAAAGCGGAATGGATGGAGAATGAGGAGGAGGAAGAGGAGGAGGAGGAGGAAGAGGAGGAGGAGTTCAGTTCGCTTCATCCCTCAGCGACGTAAAACGCTGAAGTTGTCCCACTTACTTCGCTGGGCGGCATGCCAGCATCTGGCTTCAATCCGTTTACTCGTTGACACTGGCGGGAGAGGAAAAGGATGAGGAGGAGGAGGTGGAAGGGGGCGAGGAGAAGGCGGAAAGAGGGAGAGTGAGGGAAGGAGGGGTTCAACCCCAACAGCTTGGCCGCCCTCGCGGGCAGGACAGCACGGAGGGGGGGAGGGGGGGGGGGGGGGGGTGGTGGGGGGGGGGGGGGGGGGGGGGGGGGGGAGCGCAAGGGTGGGAGAATGAGCAGGTGCAGGGGGGCAGGGAAGGGAGAAGCTGGAGCGGGAGAGGAGGGGGAGAAACGAGGAGGCGGAGGAGGGGAAAAGAGAAGGGGGAGGACGACACGGCGTGCGGCTCGAGATGCCGGCGCTGCCTTCTCGCGGCCGCTTGGGGCCGCACTGGCGGAGCGACGAGGCACGCGCGAGCGTGGCGTCCGGGGCCGGCTCGCCGAGAAGAGAGCCGCGGCCGACCGTGGCCCGAGGACCCCCGCCGCCGCGAGGGCCCCGCGCCGCGCTCCCACCACCGGTGGAGGCGGAAGGCGGTGGCGCTCCGTCTCGCCCTCCTCCTCCTCCTCCTCCTCCTCCTCCTCCTCCTCCGCTCCTCCCCCTCCTCCCTCCTCCTCCTCCGCCTCCTCCTCCTCCCCCTCCTCCGCCTCCTCCTCCTCCTCCCCTCCTCATCCTCTTCCTCCTCCTCCTCCTCCTCCTCCTCCTCCTCCTCCTCCTCCTCCTCCTCCCCCTCCTCCCCCTCCTCCTCCTGGTGGTGTCGCGCAATCTGCCCTCGCTCGGACGTCTGCCCCCGGTGCATTCTCTTCTGCCTCGCGCACGTTTTTTTGGGGGGGCTCGGTGAGCAGGATGCTCCTCGATGGTCCTCGCCGAGGGAAAGCGCACACGGCCAAGCGATGCCGAGGCAAGTAACACCCACATGCTGCGAAGAAAATGGAATCCTCTACAGACCAAGAGGCGATGGCGTGGGCCCCCCGCGCCGCAGCGAGGAGGCAGTTGCGACATCATCACCTGTGTGCCGCTGCGCAATCACCGAACACGACGAAACTTGCCACAGAGCTTGATCAGATCGTGCATGCCGTCATGCACGGGAGAACCCTGGAGGATGGAGGAGGAGGAGGAGGAGGAGACAGGGAGAAGGAGGATGACAGAGAGGAGGGGAGGAAGCGGAGGAGGGGAAAGGAAGAGGGGGCACGACCAGGGAGAAGAGGAGGGAGGATGCGGATGGAGGAGGACGGGGAGGAGGAGGAGGAGGAGGAGGAGGAGGAGGGGGGAGGAGGAGGAGGAGGGGAGGAGGAGAAGGAGACATGGAGAGAGGATCAGACAGAGGAGGAGGAAAGAGGAGGAGGAGGAGGAGGAGGAGGAGGAGCGGGCACCCACGGGCCACATGAACCAGGAGGTCCTTCACACTGCGCAGCAGTGGAGCTTCTCCCGAACCCCCTCCCCCGCGCGGAAGACCCCTCCTCCCCCTCCGCTCCTCCGCCCCCCTCCCTCCTCGGCCTCCCGCAGCCCTCCTCCGCCCCTCGGCCTCCCGCGCCCGCCGCTCCCCCCTCCCTGCTCGGGCCGCCCTCCTCACCCGGACCCTCCGGCGCGGCGCTCTTTGTCGCAGCGCGGCTCCTCCTTCTCCTCCCCCTCCTCCTCCTCCTCCTCCCTCCTCCTCCTCCTCCCTCCTCCTCCCTCCTTCCTCCTCCTCCTCCTCCTCCCCCTCCCCCCCCTCCTCCTCCTCCTCCTCCTCCTCCTCCTCCTCCTCCTCCTCCTCCTCCTCCTCCTCCTCCGGCCCCGGGGCCCCATGAGAGCTCCCGCAGGCCGAGAGTGGGCCCATAATACCTCCCGCCGTGTCTTGTCTGTCCACGCCGCGAGGAAGCCTGCTCTCTGGGTCCTGCCGCGGGCCTCTGGCGGCCGCTCGGGACGACCGAGCCACCACCAGGACGCCCTCGGCGAGGCGCAGCTGCGGGAGCCGAGGCCGGCAAGCCGCCCAGAGTCGACGAACAGAGACGCCCGAAACCCTGCTCCGATCCTCTCGATTGATCTCTGTGCCACAGCACCTCCCTCTCCTCCTCCTCCTCCTCCTCCTCCTCCTCCTCCTCCTCCTCCTCCTCCTCCTCCTCCCTCCTCCCCTCCTCCTCCTCCTCCTCCTCCTCCTCCTCCCGCCTCCGCCTCCGCTCCGCCTCCGCCTCCGCCTCCGCCTCCTCCTCCTCCTCCTCCCCTCCCTCCTCCTCCTCCTCCTCCTCCTCCTCCTCCTCCTCTCTCCTCCTCCTCCTCCTCTCCTCCTCCTCCTCTTGCTCCTCCTCCTCCTCCTCCTCCTCCTCCTCCTCCCTCCTCCTCCTCCTTCCTCCTCCTCCTCCTCCTCCTCCTCCCTCCTCCACCTCCTCCTCCTCCTCCTCCTCCTCCTCCTCCTCCTCCTCCTCCTCCTCCTCCTCCTCCTGCCGCAGCAGAACTGGCGGGGCACGCTGGAGGGGATGGGCTCGGAAGGGATGCGCCGGCGAAAACTCGGCGGCGCACCGCCGACCGGTCGGCGCGAGGTCCCCGAGAAGGCACCGGCACGGCCCTGGGCGGCGTGGGCCATCGGGCCCCCGTCGGGGCCGGGGGGTCCATGACCCCCCCGAGCCGACCCCCCCCCCTAACATTAGGTCGGGCCTGTCCCCCTACAGGGGGATTCTTGACGAAATATCAAAAATACCCCAACAATAATCCAAACATAGTCTGGGGACTATGTTTTGCATGTTTTTGGACCTTTTTGCATATGTTTGGGGTATTTTCTATTTTTCGTCGAAAACCCCCCTGTGGGGGGACACGCCCGACCTCACCCTAACATTGCCTCGTGGCGTAGGTCGGGCCTGTCCCCCTACAAAGGGGATTTCGGACGAAACATAAAAACGATTCAAAACATATTCAACTGATGCAGAAAAATACCTCCAAAGTAACCCGGAGAAGCAATTAAGGAACCCCCCAGCGTTATCATTAGCACCGCGCCGTAATTCAATAATTATTTGGGGGGGTTTTCGCCGAGCGATATTATTAGCACCGCGCAAATGGAAGGAAAATAAATAATTCCAGCGCCCCGCCTCGGGTGGCATCCCAATTAGAATTGTAATGAGAATAAGAATACGAATACGAATAAGGTGTACCCCCTCCTGGTGCCAGGATAACGCTTCCAGGTGCCGGGTGCGTTATCCTTTCACCGGAGAGGGGGGGGGGGTCCTTAATCGCTTACTCGGGTTAGTCCCCAAACTATTTTTCTAATATTTTTGAACATTCCTCCTGTAGGGGGACAGGCCCGACTTAACCCCAACATTGCCTCTTGGCCTTCGGGTCATAGCGCGGCCACTCCCGGGACGCCCTCGGCGAGGCGCAGCGGCTGGAAGGCACTCCACGGGGAACGGCCGAGAATGCCCCAGAGCCTGGATCCTCGAGAAGCTCAGCAGGGCCTGCCCCCCGCCCCTCCCAGAACCTTGCCCCAGAGGAGGAGGAGGAGGAGGAGGAGGAGGAGGAGGAGGAGGAGGAAGAGGAGGAAGAGGAGGAGGAGGAGGAGGAGGAGGAGGAGGAGAGGGGGAGAAGGAGGGGGACGAGAAGGAGGAGGAAGACGAGGAGGAGGTTGGGGCCCCAGGCAATGATGGTAGCGCTTGGGCGGGGTGGGGCACAGCGGGGCGGGGGTGCGCTGCGATCGCTTGCGCCTGCGCGCGAGCACCGGCACGTGGTGGTTGTCACGGCCTCCCCACCCACCCATACGTTGAACTTCGCCTTCCAATAAAAAACCTCAGGAGCACGTAAGACAACATGTAGAACTGTTAAGGAACACTGAGCCCCTCCCCAACCAAAAAGGTTCGTTCTTCAGCGGCCCGACTGTAGGTACGATCGTTCCGGTTTCCCTGGTGGAAGGGAAGGTGGAGCATGTAGCGACCGTTGCGCCCCACAGGTTGAAACAACAGTGTCAGGAGGCCTGCTTCCCCCCAGAGGGCGTATCTGGCGAAGCAAGGCTTCCAACTGTGAAAACGCGCAACCTCTCCCATACGAAGACGCGTCCCCCCCCAGAGTTTATCCGGTCAAGCGCTGGGCCCGTCGTCAGATAGGCTCGCAAAGCAATTTCGAATCAGATCTTGTCGGAGGGTTTGGGTACCCTTGCCCCTGAGAACGGGGGCCTGCACCCACGACCACCCCCTTTGGGCGTTGCTTCATGGGGGGCGACTAATGGGGGGGTAGGGGGGTAGGGGGGGGAATGTGCCCCTCCGTGCCCCTTTTGGGCCCCAAGGGGCCCCTGCAGGGCCCTTTTAGGACACAAGAGGTGCACCTTCCCCCTCCGCCCCCTCCCTCCAACCCAGACCCCCGACGTCATGATTTCTTCACAACGTCGACCCCCAGAGGTCTGCCCCTTCCCCAGGACCGGCTTTTCATCCTGAGTCGTTTTTTGACGGTCCCGGGGCCCAGTGAGGGACCCTGGAGGCCGAAAATTAGAAAAAAACAATCTCCCGTCATGATTTTGTCATTGCCCGAGGGGGTCTGGGAATGTCGCCCCCCCATGATCGCCCCCACACTACGCAACGACCCCCCCCCCCCCTGGGGGCCACGCCGGCACGCTGGCCACCCGCGCCGCCGCCTTCGCCGCGAGGTCGGCTGTGCCGGCCGCGACGACCAGGGCGTCCCTGCCCTCGGGCTGCTGCCTGGGGGAGGCGCGCGGCCCCGGCGTGGTCGGGGGAGGAGTGGTGAGGGAGGGATGGGGAAACGGAGAGTGAAAGGGAGAGAAGGAGGATGAGGAGGAGGAGGAGGAGGAGGAGGAGGAGGAGGAGGAAGAGAGGGAGGGGGAAGAGAAGGAGGAGGAGGAGGAGGAGAAGGTGGAGGGGAAAGGGGAGGAGGAGGAGGAGGAGGAGGAGGAGGAGGAGGAGGAGGAAGAGGAGGAGGAGGA